TGTGTGTCCCAGGGCCCCTTCAGAGTCGAGCCTCTGGGGGCCAGAATGTTATCCACAGCCAGTGCGCCTCGGGCTTCCGGGGGAGAGGGCCCGAGACTCCAAGCTTCAGCGGACATGGACATGTCCTGCCCGCACCCAGGGGGGCCCTCGCCGGACCCTGGGACCGGGCCCGTGGAAGTGGTCGAGACCTTTGGGTGTCGACGCTGCGAACAAACTCGTGTCGTCGGGGGTGTTTGGGGGGAAGGGCGGCCTGCAGCTGTGCTTCGCTCCGCTCGCTGGCGTGACCGCCTAGAAGAACGGGGGAACTCTGGCATACGCCTCGAGGGGGCTCTTCGGACGCACCCCTATCGAGGATGGGCGCCCCCCATTATTGTATGATTGTCCCAGGATGGCGCCCACAGTTTTGTCTGGTCCAGTCACCCCCCCCAAAAAAAAAAAACTCGGTGATTGTGCCCGCCGTGTGACATCTGTTTCTCCTTCCCCTGGTGCGGATCGTTACCAGTGGGGGAGACGTCGGGCGGGAGGGCAACGGCGGCCGCGGCGGCCAGTGTTAAGTCGGGCTTGCCCCTCTACAGGGGGAATGTTTTCAGAAATGGTTACAAACATTTGGGGACGAATCTTTTTCGCCCGAAGCCCCCCTGTAGGGAATCAGGTCCGACCTGAGGCCAGGGAGTCTGCGCCACCGGCGCATGCGCCCCTTGTGCGCATCACGGCATGCAGGGTAGGTCCAGGCCCCGCTACCCTTAAGTCGGGCCTGTCCCTCTACAGGGGGAATACCAAAGAATAGTCAAGAAATAGTCTGGGGATTATTCGTTTAGTATTCTTGGACATCTTTTGAGCAGCTTTTCAATATTTTTTTTAATGTTTCGTCCAGAGTCCCCCTGTAGGGGAACAGGCCTGACTTACGTCCAGGCCCCGCTACCCGCAGTACGATCGTTAGCGCTACCCGGGGGGGGGGGGCCGGGGGACCAGGGCAACGAGCGTTGCCGCGGGGAGGAACCGACAAGATACGCTCACCGATTCTCCCGCTCCTCGCGCCTTGCGCGCCCCTCCCGTGCCGGAGCTCCTGCCTCTCCAGTTCCTCTTCGCTCGCCGCTCTTGCCGTCCCGTCTCCGCCTCCTTCGCTTCGCTTCGCTCGCGGCTCAATGTCCTCGCGGGACGCAGCCGTCCGCGCGGGCGGGCCCGCGCGTGCGCCGAAGGCGCGCTGGGGGGACCACCTCCCCCTACACAGACCCCCGCCAGGATGCCCAGGGAAGGAGCCATCTAGGCTCCGCGAGGGAGGGGGCGGGGGCCAAAAAGGGCGAAAAAAGAAAGGCTCTCCGCCTCCTCCCTCTCCTCCTGCTCGTACGTTTCGGATGCGGGGGGGGGGAGGAGGAAGGAAAATGACCGGAACACGAGGGGAGGGAGAAGGAGGAGAAAGAGGAGGAGGAGGAAAGGCAATTTGCCACAGGTCGCCGCAGTCTCGGGGGACGAGGAGGAGGCGGAGAGGGAGAAGCAGGAGACGGAGGAGGATGAGGAGAGGCAAAGGGTGATTGCGGGTGACGATGATAGTGATAGCGACGATGATGTTGATAGCGGCGGTAGTGTTGGTGGTGGGGATACGGCGGGAGAAGCAGAAGAAGAAGAAGGAGGAAGGACATCAGGAGCAGGAGGACGAGTTCAGTGAGGAGGCTGACGGGGGCGAGGGTGAGGAGGAGGAGAGGAGGAGAAGCCACGCCTCTGAAACGGTCACCACCATTCCTCGGTGTCGTTTCGAGGGCCGCTCTTGGAAACGGCTGCTGACGAAACATACGCTAACACGGCCTGGCAGCTTGGCATGCGTGAACCTCCTTCCGTTCCCCCCCCCCCCTCTCCCTTTCCCTTCTCTTGAACGGGGGAGGGAGGCGGACGATGGCGGCTCGACGAGAGAGGACAGATGAGGCGGGAGCGACGGGGTTTGGGGGATGGAGGAGAGAAGGAGGAGGAAGGCGGAGAGAAGGAGGAAGGAGTTGGGAAGGGGAGCAAAGATGGAGGAGGTTTGCAGGAACGGCTGAGAGGGACGATAGGGACGGATGATGAGGATGCTAGTGGTGGTGGTAGTGGTGGTGTTGGTGACGATGATGATGCTGATGTTGATGCTGCTGATGATGCTGATGATGATGATGGTGATGATGCTGATGATGATGATGATGATGATGATGATGATGGTGGCGTTGCTTTCGATGATGGTGATGGAGCTGATGCTGGTGCTGGTGGTGATGATAGTGTCTGTCATGATGATGATGATGATGATGATGATGATGATGATGATGATGATGATGATGATGATGATGATGCTGATGCTGATGCTGATGCTGATGCTGATGCTGATGCTGATGCTGATGCTGATGCTGATGATGATGATGATGATGATGATGATGATGATGATGATGATGATGATGATGATGATGATGATGATGCTGATGGTGATGGTGATGGTGATGGTGATGGTGATGCACTTGGGCGTCGACTCCAACAGCGGTGACGGCCGGATCTCCGCACCCCGCCTGGAGAGTCGAGCCCCGGCTCCTCCCTCCTCCCTCATCACCTGTCTCCCCAGTTCGAGCCGTGAGGCGTCAGACTTTGCCCTTCGGTGAGAGTCCATCCGCTCCATCGTGCCCGCCCGCCCCCTCGAGAGCCTCAATGGCGAGCCTCTTCGCGAGCATCGTTGGCCTGTGCCTCCTGGGCTGCGCTTCGGGCCAGGGCCTCTTCTCGGACTGCCCCTCGGCCATGAACACCGGCTCGGTCGGCAGCTGCAAGATCTTCGGGTGCTCCGCGAGCCGCGGGCCGACCCACTGCACGCTCGGCAGCTGCTACTGCAACGACGGCTACTGCAGGTACCCGGCCAGCACCACGCACGTGCAGTCGCGGTACTGCGTCGCCCGCGTGCCCGACGCCACGTGCCACCTCACCCGCGTCTGCTACAGCGCCGGCCTCACGACCTCGTTCTGCGAGAAGGGCCTGTGCATGTGCAAGTGGGGCTACGCTGTCGAGACCGACGAGGACGGCAAGCACTCGTGCGTGCCGGCCACGGCCGAGCTCGCCGAGGCCGTGGCCCGCAACGCCACCGCGGAGGAGATCGAGCTGCTGATGGAGCACAAGGAGCACTCCGAGCGCATGGCCGCCCAGAACGTCGCAGTCGCGGCCTCCTGGCTCTGCGGGGCGGCCGCGCTCGTCTGCGCTGCCGGTGCCTGGGCGCTGCGCCGCCGCGCGTCCAGGGTGGCGGCCCAGCCGGCCGGCTACCAGGTGCTCGTCGACTGAGGAGAGCGGCCTCGGCGGAGCCACGGGACCACGCGAGCAGGTCCGCGGTGGCGTGGCCCCTGGACAGAAGCGGCCACAGGTGAGCGGCGACCGGCAGAGCCCTCACCCCAGCGCCACATGTTTTGATCGATTACGCTACGCAGAGGCGTGGCTACGCAGGACCCGTGTCGGGCTGCCTGGCACGCCGTAGAGCTTTGTTTCCAGTTGCGCCGCCGCGCACATCCGCCCCTCCGCCTGGGAGAGCTTCTCCCGTGGCCTGCTTGGGGGCCCCTCTGGGGCGTCTGGAGTCTGTAGACTTGGGGCCGTCGCGAGCTGGTCTTGAGCCGTTTCGGTGCCATGCTTGGGCGCTCTGGGGCAGTCTTGGGGACCATCTCAGGGCCGTCCCGCCCGCCAGACTGCCCGCCAGGCCTGTGCGAAGCAGTCACGGAGGGGCCTGGAGGCCGCTTGGGGGCCTCCTCGAGGCCTTCTTGGGCGGGCTGGTAAGCTCCTCCGGGAAACGAACCTTGGTTGCATGTTGTGGGCATGTTGTGGGCATCGGCTTCTCGCGGCAGGTCGATCGTATTGGGAGGACCCTTTCGGCTCGGCGTGGGACTTGTCCTGGGTGTTGGGATGCGGCCTGAATGGGGTGGGGGGGCAGCAGGTCTGCTGCTCCAATCAACGTGAATGGCCGTCTCATCGGGCAGTCTAGTGTAAGGGATTGCGTGGGCTGTTCACGACTGATTCTCACCACTGCAACGCGCGGTAGCGGACACCCATCAGTTCCAGTCCGCCACGGTAGCGGATATTCGGCAGTCGTTGGCCGCCATATGGGGATAAATAATCACAGGTCACTTGCCGTTCTCATCGCTTCCACATCTTATCCCTACCACCTCCCCAGTCATCTGTACTGCTGGTTGGACGAGAGAGGAGGGAGGAGGCGAGAGAGACGGGGGGTGGGGGATGGAGGCAGACAGGAGAAGACGGAGGGAGGAAGATGGAAGGCAGGAGTGGAGAGAGGGTGGCAGGATGGAGGAGGGTTCGGGGAAGGGAAGAGTGAGGAGGGAACAGGGGAACATGAATTCATTGATGTTGATGCTGATGTGGATGTGGATGTTTAAATATTACTGTTGTTGGTGATGATGATGATGATGATGATGATGATGCTGATGATGATGATGGTCATGTTGATCAAGATGGTGAGGATGATGCTGATGATGGTGGTGATTATGCTTATGATGATAGAGATGATGATGTTGATGATGATGATGACGATGCTGATGATGATGACGATGATGATGATGATGATGACGATACTGCTGATGATGCTGCTGATGATGATGGGAATGCTGATGATCATGCTGATGAAGATGATGGTGGTGGAAATGGTGATCATTATGAGGATGGTGGTGGTGATGATGCCGCTGCTGCTGCTGCTGCTGCTGCTGATGATGATGATGTTGATGATGATGATGATGATGATGATGATGATGATGATGATGATGATGATGATGATGATGATGATGATGATGATGATGATGATGGGGTGGCCTGGGAAGGGCAGTCCAGGCAGATCGCGTTTCGGTTGGGCGTTGGTCTGGACAGCGCTGAAGGTTTGGTGCCCGAGGAAGGCAGCTGGCCAGCTTCCCCCTCCCTTCTCCTCCTCCCTCATGTTTTCCCCGGCTCGAGTAGTGAGGCGTCTGAATTTGCCCTTCGGGTGAGAGTGCATCCACTCAGGAGCATCCATGGCGAGCCTCTTCGCGAGCATCGTTGGCCTGTGCCTCCTGGGCTGCGCTTCGGGCCAGGGCCTCTTCTCGGACTGCCCTTCGGCCATGAACACCGGCTCGGTCGGCAGCTGCAAGATCTTCGGGTGCTCCGCGAGCCGCGGGCCGACCCACTGCACGCTCGGCAGCTGCTACTGCAACGACGGCTACTGCAGGTACCCGGCCAGCACCACGCACGTGCAGTCGCGGTACTGCGTCGCCCGCGTGCCCGACGCCACGTGCCACCTCACCCGCGTCTGCTACAGCGCCGGCCTCACGACCTCGTTCTGCGAGAAGGGCCTGTGCATGTGCAAGTGGGGCTACGCTGTCGAGACCGACGAGGACGGCAAGCACTCGTGCGTGCCGGCCACGGCCGAGCTCGCCGAGGCCGTGGCCCGCAACGCCACCGCGGAGGAGATCGAGCTGCTGATGGAGCACAAGGAGCACTCCGAGCGCATGGCCGCCCAGAACGTCGCAGTCGCGGCCTCCTGGCTCTGCGGGGCGGCCGCGCTCGTCTGCGCTGCCGGTGCCTGGGCGCTGCGCCGCCGCGCGTCCAGGGTGGCGGCCCAGCCGGCCGGCTACCAGGTGCTCGTCGACTGAGGAGAGCGGCCTCGGCGGAGACACGGGACCACGCGAGCAGGTCCGCGGTGGCGTGGCCCCTGGACAGAAGCGGACACAGGTGAGCGGCGACCGGCAGAGCCCTCACCCCAGCGCCACATGTTTTGATCGATTACGCTACGCAGAGGCGTGGCTACGCAGGACCCGTGTCGGGCTGCCTGGCACGCCGTAGAGCTTTGTTTCCAGTTGCGCCGCCGCGCACATCCGCCCCTCCGCCTGGGAGAGCTTCTCCCGTGGCCTGCTTGGGGGCCCCTCTGGGGCGTCTGGAGTCTGGAGGCTTGGGGCCGTCGCGAGCTGGTCTTGAGCCGTTTCGGTGCCATGCTTGGGCGCTCTGGGGCAGTCTTGGGGACCATCTCAGGGCCGTCCCGCCCGCCAGACTGCCCGCCAGGCCTGTGCGAAGCAGTCACGGAGGGGCCTGGAGGCCGCTTGGGGGCCTCCTCGAGGCCTTCTTGGGCGGGCTGGTAAGCTCCTCCGGGAAACGAACCTTGGTTGCATGTTGTGGGCATGTTGTGGGCATCGGCTTCTCGCGGCAGGTCGATCGTATTGGGAGGACCCTTTCGGCTCGGCGTGGGACTTGTCCTGGGTGTTGGGATGCGGCCTGAATGGGGTGGGGGGGCAGCAGGTCTGCTGCTCCAATCAACGTGAATGGCCGTCTCATCGGGCAGTCTAGTGCAAGGGATTGCGTGGGCTGCTCACGACTGATTCTCACCACTGCAACGCGCGGTAGCGGACACCCATCAGTTCCAGTCCGCCACGGTAGCGGATATTCGGCAGTCGTTGGCCGCCATACGGGGATACATAATCACAGGTCACTTGCCGTTCTCATCGCTTCCACATCTTATCCCTACCACCTCCCCAGTCCGCTGTACTGCTGGTTGGACGAGAGAGGAGGGAGGAGGCGAGAGAGACGGGGGGTGGGGGATGGAGGCAGACAGGAGGAAGACGGAGGGAGGAAGATGGGAGGCAGGAGTGGAGAGAGGGTGGCAGGATGGAGGAGGGTAGGAGGGAACAGGGGAACATGGATTTCTTGATGCTGATGCTGATGTGGATGTGGATGTTTAAAAATTACTGTTGTTGGTGATGATGATGATGATGATGATGATGATGATGATGATGATGGTCATGTTGATCAAGATGGTGAGGATGATGCTGATGATGGTGGTGATTATGCTTATGATGATAGAGATGATGATGTTGATGATGATGATGACGATGCTGATGATGATGACGATGATGATGATGATGATGACGATACTGCTGATGATGTTGCTGATGATGATGGGAATGCTGATGATCATGCTGATGAAGATGATGGTGGTGGAAATGGTGATCATTATGAGGATGGTGGTGGTGATGATGCCGCTGCTGCTGCTGCTGCTGCTGCTGCTGCTGATGATGATGATGATGATGATGATGATGATGATGATGATGATGATGATGATGATGATGATGATGATGATGATGATGGGGTGGCCTGGGAAGGGCAGTGCAGGCAGATCGCGTTTCGGTTGGGCGTTGGTCTGGACAGCGCTGAAGGTTTGGTGCCCGAGGAAGGCAGCTGGCCAGCTTCCCCCTCCCTTCTCCTCCTCCCTCATGTTTTCCCCGGCTCGAGTAGTGAGGCGTCTGAATTTGCCCTTCGGGTGAGAGTGCATCCACTCCGGAGCATCCATGGCGAGCCTCTTCGCGAGCATCGTTGGCCTGTGCCTCCTGGGCTGCGCTTCGGGCCAGGGCCTCTTCTCGGACTGCCCTTCGGCCATGAACACCGGCTCGGTCGGCAGCTGCAAGATCTTCGGGTGCTCCGCGAGCCGCGGGCCGACCCACTGCACGCTCGGCAGCTGCTACTGCAACGACGGCTACTGCAGGTACCCGGCCAGCACCACGCACGTGCAGTCGCGGTACTGCGTCGCCCGCGTGCCCGACGCCACGTGCCACCTCACCCGCGTCTGCTACAGCGCCGGCCTCACGACCTCGTTCTGCGAGAAGGGCCTGTGCATGTGCAAGTGGGGCTACGCTGTCGAGACCGACGAGGACGGCAAGCACTCGTGCGTGCCGGCCACGGCCGAGCTCGCCGAGGCCGTGGCCCGCAACGCCACCGCGGAGGAGATCGAGCTGCTGATGGAGCACAAGGAGCACTCCGAGCGCATGGCCGCCCAGAACGTCGCAGTCGCGGCCTCCTGGCTCTGCGGGGCGGCCGCGCTCGTCTGCGCTGCCGGTGCCTGGGCGCTGCGCCGCCGCGCGTCCAGGGTGGCGGCCCAGCCGGCCGGCTACCAGGTGCTCGTGGACTGAGGAGAGCGGCCTCGGCGGAGCCACGGGACCACGCGAGCAGGTCCGCGGTGGCGTGGCCCCTGGACAGAAGCGGACACAGGTGAGCGGCGACCGGCAGAGCCCTCACCCCAGCGCCACATGTTTTGATCGATTACGCTACGCAGAGGCGTGGCTACGCAGGACCCGTGTCGGGCTGCCTGGCACGCCGTAGAGCTTTGTTTCCAGTTGCGCCGCCGCGCACATCCGCCCCTCCGCCTGGGAGAGCCTCTTCCGTGGCCTGCTTGGGGGCCCCTCTGGGGCGTCTGGAGGCTCCCGGGAAACGAACATGTTACAATGTGTTTGGTCTCTTGGGGCATGTTGTGGGCCTTGTCTTCTCATGGCAGGTCGGTCGCATTGGGAGCACCCTTTCGGATGCGGCCTGGATTCGGTCAGACATGTCCTAAGCGTTGGGATGCGGCCTGGATGAGGTGGGGGGGCAGCAGGTATGCTGCTCCAATCAGAGTGGATATGTGTGTGTGTTCGTCTGCTTCGGGAGACGTCCAGGGACCTGAATATCTTTCGCACGGGGTAGTCCTGTAAGAGACGAGACCGTTCCCGCCTAACGTTCACCACTACAAAGTAGGGTAGCGGATATTCAGTAGTTGCAGTCCGGCACGGTAGCGGACATCGAATATTCACCAGTTACAATCCGCCATACATGAAAAGGGAATTACATCACCGGCCGTGCTCATCGGCTCCCCACGTTCTCCATTGCATATTTGTATTTCCTATTCCTCATGTCGCGACTTCTGCTCATCCCGGTCCTGTGAGCTCCCCACGCGTCGGTGGCGTTCAGTCGTCTCTCGTTGGAGATTATTGTTTGTTGTTCTGCCGCGTATATCCGCCATCGAACTTGGGGTCGCCGCGCAGCAGAATCGTAGCCGCTCAATACCTGTAGCTGCAGATTTGCACCTTTGTCCTGGAGCCATCTCAGACCTGTCTTGAAAGCGTCGTCGGGTGGTACTGGGCCATCTCGGAGCTGCCTCGGAAGATCGCCTGGAGCAGTTTCTGGAGGCTACAGGCGGGGCCCTGCAGAAGGAACCCTTTTCGTTGGGAGGGGCTCCGCGTTCCTTGACTGTTCTACAGTTTGCCTTCTGTTTTCCTGAGGTTTTCCATGGGAAATCGAAGTTCAACTTATGGGAGAAAGGGGCTTCGTTCCTTAGGTCAACGCCCCGACTGTATCTCTGGAGTCTATATCTGGCCTTCGAGATTGTCAAGCCGTATTTCTTGTGGACAGTGGTCTCTGGGGCCTCCTGGGGGACTTGGATGATTCACTGGTTCTCTTCTTTGGGCCTGCCGGGGATCTTTCTCAAGGGCAGTTCGACCATCTTGGGGTGCCGTCTGGGGGCGGGGTCCTCGGGGTGGAGTTTGAGGGTGATCGTAGCTTTCTAGGGGCAGTTGTGAGCCAGTTGTGGCCCGTCTTGGGCGCCGTCTTAGGGGCGTCGGGAATGCCACTGGGTCTGCTCCACAGGTGGTCTGCTATCCCAGGTAGGTCTGCTGAGATACTCGTTCTTGAAGGTGAAGGTGCCTGAAGGCACGCGCTGTTCGCGGTACTTTGAGCCACCAGAGCCGACGGATCGCACGCTCGGAATCTCACGGCATTCTCGCCCAACGCTAATTTGTTCAGGGGCGTGAGGCAGAACATGCGTGTCCCTTTAAATTTGGAATTGGCTCTCCAAGTGGAGGCAAAATACCACAACCCTCGCAGACACTAATAGGAGATGGGGGCCCTCCCTGTATGCACCATGTCATTAATTCATGTTTGCCAACGTGGCTCCTAACAATAAGTTACTGCACTACATGTGTAATGTATGGGGTGCAAGCTGCGTTGTGTAAGCTATGTGGCGCTACGGCTGATCCATCAATTCCCGTAAGAAACAAAAGTAAGAACCCCTACAAGCACCGCTTGGGGATCAACTCCACACCCATCGCCGACTTCGGGTTCCTGCGCACACCGGGCTGGCGCCACCATCTGGCCCCACGGCACCAGGTTCGGGCCCCCCCCTCTCCCTCCCTGGCCCCCCACGACGCTGGGAGCCACGTAGCCACTCCCCTCCTTCCTTCCTGTGCGGCACGGAGTTGCACCGAGCTTGCTGCCTGATGGTGGCGGGGGAGCTCGGCTGAGAAGTCGCTGGGCGCTGGCTGGGCACTGGCTGGGCAGTGCTCGCATCTCTGACCAGCCGGACGCGCCGCGTCGTCCATCCTGGGTGCTCGGAAGAGTCTTCGGACGTTCTCGACGCGGCTCTTCCGCAGGCAGCTGTCGGTGCGCTTGGCGACGGTGCGGTCGTTTTGCCAGCAGTGTGGGTGGGACTCGTGCGCGGCTGCACGGAATGCAGGGAATCACCACCCACCAAACCACCCCAACCCAACCCGAAGGTCTCGATTTGCCCTCCATTTCCAGTTGGGGGGGGTCGGGGATCATCGAGAAAACACATATGGAACCCGTACCCCCCCCCAACCCGAAATTCGGGTCTTCGGGTTGGGTTGGGGTGGTCTGGTAGGTAGTCAGGGAAGTGTGGATCGCGCAGTCCTGCAGTTCGTTGTGTCGTTTTTTTGTTCGACGCATTCGCTTGTCTTCAACCTATGAAATGTGTGAGAGCGTGGCTCGTGCGTTCCTCTTTGTTCTTCCGCGCCTGTCGGGTGCCGCAGACACCAGATTCCACATCGCACCGGTAACC